GACTCTGCAGCCTCCTTGATAGAGTCTAACCATCTGGCATGTGGTCTTCCTCTCCTCTAGCATCTTTGTCTTTTCCAATGATTCATGTACACCGACAGCACTCTAGAAATAAACTTTAATAATAATAATAATAATAATAATAATAATAACAACAACAACAACAACAACAACAACAACTATAGTGTTAGAAATCAGAAATATAGTTGAGTAACATTTTCACCCTTCCTCCTAAATTCTTCCTTTCCTAGAAACTATATTTATAACAGCCAGAAAATCCTTTCCTTTTCACTGCACTGGAAAAATAGCCTGACTTTGAGAAAAAAATACTTAAATAGCATGATGGTTCATTATCTTATTATGTATCATTATTTGATTTTATATCATATTGCCAGAAATGTCAAGACAAAGTCATACATTCATGAAAGAATGGTCAACCAGACTTTACTCTTAGCTTTATTTAAAAGATTTCAAATGTTACCTTTATATCTTAGAGTTCAAGACAATTCTACATATAACCAAAAACAATTGAAACAAAAATTACCATAGAGCTAAATACTCACTAAATGCCCACTTTCCAAGCACGGCTTCATCCAGGTTTCACCCCACTGGAACCTTGTGTGTCATATAAACAGCTGAGGCTCAAAATGGAGTAAAACTGCTTTTCTTGCCAGTGCGGACAACCCCCTGGTCTCTTGGAGTCCTAGTCCAGCATTCAAACTACTACATGATAATGATTCTAATCAGAATTTTAGTGAGTTAAAGTGGATAATCCAGTTTTAGCTCATCTCCCTTTGCCCATACATATCTGGCTTCACAAGCTGAGATGCAAAATAAACTGATACTCATAAATTTTGTCCTTGTTGTGCTTTCTTCATCCTAGGAAGGCCAGGATTAGCCTAGAAAATCTTCAGCTGATGAGAGTTCCCTATTGTGCCCAAAACAGGAAATAAATAATCACCAAGATCACAACAAGCCATACTCTTCAAACAAAGTTAAAACATGTTTTAAGATCCTTGTTGTTCCTATCCTAGTAGCCACTGTTTCCACATTTGGCTACAGAGCTCCCTATTGCATCCAAACCACAAAACTATGATTAACTGAAGACATCCTGGATTACTCACAGTAAAACAAGAAAGGAAGAGACAAGAGCCATGAGGTAAATATGCCAACTTCTTGCCTATTTTAGCTTGTTAAGCCAAGATCCATGTGAATGAAGCTCTCCAGTATAACTTCTGACAAGACTATCATTCACTAATGAGAAGTCACAGCACCTTCCAAAGGCCAGAACATAATCTTACACAGAACATAATCTTACAATTTTATGTAATGTAAAAAGTCTTCCAAAATAATTTTATAGGTGATTGACAGCAATTGTCAGAAGAGCCCTTGAATCAATGGGAATTAGTAAGTCAACACTTATGCACCTTCTATTTATTTAATGTAGCTGAAACAACTGGATTTAAGCCCATATGTATAACCTCCATGCAAATATCTCTGAGATACATGGTACAGAAATAAGTCACTACCAAAGAAACATAAAGATAATGAAATGTTCATAACTCAAGTCACTGAAACTAGGGTTTTTTGACCTTTAATATACACATATTTTTGCTTCCATGTAATTAATACCTTTCAGGTCGTCACGTTAAAGCTACACACAGTATAGAAAATTACATATTTACTGTTTGTCAGAAATCAGAAAAAAAAATGATACTCCTACAACCACCTCTTTCTAGGTTCAACAAAGATTTTTTAAAAATGGGGAAATTATATTAGTAATGTTATTACAACATAGAAATCAACATTAAGTATTTGAATATACATACTTTCAAGAGCATTATCAGCATATTAAATATAAATACAAAAATATCCAGAATGATTATCTGGGCATATGTCAATTCTATTTTGTTTCCAATCTACATTTAATGGGCATATGTAAACCTTCACTATCAACAGGGTTATAATGCCAAAATTCAGTCTTGTTCCATAGACTTATACAGTATGTAATCGGTACATTAACACAATTGCTATATTAACATTTTGAAGATGAAGGCAGAATGATTCTCAATTATGATATGATAAAGAAACATGTAGAAATATACTTTCTACTAACCAAACATCCAGTCTGTAACCTTAAGCATAGCACCTGGGACTTTCAGTAAATAAAGTAGTACAGGTATTTACTTCTAGGTAAATAAGGTTAGTATTGTATCACTCTAACACTGTATCCACATAACCATACAGATCTCATTCAGGTCAATGGCCTTTAAACATACAAAATTGGAATACATAGCCTACAAATACACATAAAAACACTTAAATCAAATATATGTGGACACAACAAATTCTTCTAGCAAACAAAACAAATGTTTCTCTATTAAATGTTCCCAGCTTCGACAATTTTTCAAGCCCTGATCGTGTTTCTGGTGGCTTGGGCCATTGCCACTTTATAAAAAGCTCAGAAAGATGTTTCTCCCCTCCCCTCAACTGTACTCATTTTGCTATGACGCCAACTGCTCCCAGCAGAACCATTTCCCCAGGGTAAGAACTGTACTGTAGTGGAAAAATACTATACGAAAATAATGATCAGAACTCTTACACTGCAAATTTGAAAGGTTTCTTTTATAGAAGTAAAAGATTTACTGAAGTATGGGTGAAAACATAAAAGTAATTTACAAACAATAAATACAGAAAATATTCTATGGAAGTATGCATCACTGCATATACAGTGACATCTAAAAGAATTAAGCATTTAATAATTTCCCTAGCATTATAAACAATATTTCTTTTCCAACATAAATAGAACATTGTGACTGTGCCACTTTTTAAATTATTTTTTAAATGTTGCACTGGATTGGGGAGAACTCTATACAAGTAACACAGATTCTTCATTGCAAACTGCAATGAATGGGGAGATGAATGTATTTAGATCAAATAGCACCATCTAGCAGTTCCCCTAACTTCACTTAAGGATACTCATTACTCAGAGACAGTTCAGTGCAGCTTCTTTTTCTTTTGTAACAAAACAGGTTCCTGTTTCATCTTATGATATCCCTTTGATAATTTCTGCAATATTTTCTAGTAGAAAACATGGAGCACTAATATTTCAAACACACACACACACACATTAGGACAGCCAAGATGAAGTCAAGGCCCCTATTTTAATAGCTCCCCTACAAGTTTCTCGACAACAAAAACTGGAGTTTGAACTGTCAAAAACTGCAAAGCAACAATTAAAATTTACAAATCCAGCTGCAGAACTTTGCCCAATAATTTTTAAAAGTTCATGATGAACTGAGAGGACAATAACTTTATAAATGCTTTATAAATGCATTAGAATGATTAAATTCAAAACCGAGTGACAGAGGCAAAGACAAAATATCTAACAAGCGATTTAAGTCTTGGGTCTGTTTCTTTGTCTTTGGTATCAGGAAGTAACTTTCCTCTTTAAAATGCGGCAGCCAGCAAAGAAAATCTTGAGGTGAAGGTTCAGTGCAAACTGCCTCAGGGAAACTTCTCAATCATGTTTGGCTCATTCATTCTCATGGTGAGTAAAGCTCCAAGTTACACAATATGCAGTGGCATTTTAAAAGACCATATATACCAAAGCCATTCTGACCACATGCCACTGACCTTAAGCATCTCAGCCTAAGCCTGTGAAGGTGACTAGGGGGCTTTGGAATAGAAAAAGAGAGCAGAAAATAAATTATTTATTTCTCAGGAATATTCACCTTACCAAAAACAGGACCTTCCTCCTTCATAACAAACCATTCCCTGTGGTCCTCCTACCTCAACAAGATGAAGGAAAGCTGTAACAAGCTTTCACTAGTAGCAACTTGAGGGAAAATCCAACATTAAGAGGGCCCTTTAGATCACAAGTGATCCAAGATTACATAATAACAACTTCAAAAAGTTACCCTTTATATTTTTATGTAGAGTGATCTTGTAGCACCTTTGAGACTAACTGAAAGAAGCTGGCAGCATGAGCTTTCCTAGACTTAAGTCTACTTCCAAATGCATCTGAGGAAATAGGCAAGTCTAGGAAAGCTCATGCTGCCAACTTTTTTCTCTCAGCAAGTCTCAAAGGTGCTACAAGACCTCTCCTCATACTGATTCTACAGACTAACACGGCTGTATCTTTGAATTCTACCTTTTTATTTTTGTTTACATTGAATTTATTAACATTGTTTTCCAGTGAGACAACCTGGGCCAATCACTTGGTTAAAACAATCATTTTAACAAGATTATTAGATCTTACATTACCTTAAAATCTGTATAGTATTCGCTGTGTTGCGGACTGCGTAGACATTTAAGTGAACACATTTTTCTGTACTTATTTTTCTTAAAGTTTCTTGGTGCCCCCATAACAGGTGAACCAAGGTATTACAACGGAAATGATACATTCTGCAATAGCGGGAGTGTGCATCTTTCTTTCCTCAGCATTACAAGCAGACCACAAGCGCAGCAACCTTTTTTTTGCTCCTGTCTTCAACCTACATAAAGGCAGCTTCAAACTCCTCCCAAAGCAGCCCAGACCATCCTTTACTTCTTGTTTATACAGAATCTCCTCTTTTGCTGGGAGCAACCCAAGTTCACCTTTCTCAAGACACCTCCTCCAACAACACCCTTCCAACACACAACAGAACAAACTAGGTAGCTATCACCTTCCCTCACGACTGTGTGAGGGAGGAATGGAGGGGAAGAGGAAAAGGGAGATAGAAAGAACTCCTGGAGAAGGTGTGTGTGTAGATCAGGGGTAGGCAACCTTTCCCCTTTAAGGGCCGAGGGACTTGAGCTCCCAGAAGCCTCAGCCATGTTGGCCAATAGTCCCATGTTGGCCAATAGCTCCTGGGATTCTGGGAGCTGAAGTCCCTCGGCCCTTAAAGGGGAAAGGTTGCCTACCCCTGGTATAGAGATAGGGAGTAACTTAGGAGAAACAGGAAAAGAGACACAGTACTCCTGGCCCAGTTTAGGAGGTTTATCCAGGGGTAAGAGTTCAGGGCCAGCGTGGTGTAGCGGTTGGAGTGCTGGACTGCGACTCTGGAGACCAGGGTTCCAATCCCCGCTTGGCCATGTTAACCCACTGGAGTGACCTTGGGCGAGTCACACTCTCTCAGCCTCTGGGGAAGTGCAGAAACTTGCTAAGAAAACTCCCAGGATAGGGTCGCCATTAGTCAGAAACGACTTGGAAGGCAAACAACAAACAACTTGAAAGTATACAACAAACAAGCAACAGGAAAAGAGGAGACAGAGAAAACTCCTGGCGAAGAAGGGGTGTGAGACTCTGTGTGTGTGTGTGTGTGTGTGTCGAGAGACAGGGACTAGTAAGTTGAGCGTTGTGGAGTTGTTCACAGGCGACGGAGGCTTCTGCTCCTCCTCTCTCTCTCTCTCTCTCTCAGGCGGAAACTACACACTATCAACACCAACACAGCCCAGGACTCTTTTGTTACCAAAGTTACTCCAACACCATCTTCTTTACAACCATCCCAAGACGACATCATAACACACACACACACGGGAAAGGGAAAGAGAAGGAAAACAAGAAGCACCAAAACAAACCCGAGAAAGGAAGGCAGGCAGGCAGGCAGGCTCTGGAACCCAAAACGTTCATCCTTCTCCCTCAGCGTGAGGGACACACACCGCACAGTCTGCCTGAAACACTTTCACCGACTGTAACTGAGGGGCACAACCTTCCTCCTCCTCCTCCGCCGAGGGGTTGGGGCCCGTCCCGTCTTGTCCCCCAACGGCCGCTGGAAGAGCGCCCCACCCCCCT